CACTGTACCAGTGAGGTATATCCACAGCTTTATTTCTTAAGAGGAATTGTAAAGTGTGCTTTAGGACAATATTTTAGTAGATGGAAACAGTCCTCAAAGATATCAGACCTTAATTGCTGGAATTTATAAATGTTACTGCCTGAGTCCCTCTTCGTGCTGCTGTGACAAAATATTCTAACAAAAGCTAAAGGGTAAAGGGCTCATTGTAGCGACAGTTCAGTGTGGGGAAGCCAAGGCTGCTGGGGCTCAAAGCAGCTGTCTCATTGCATCCACAGCCAAGAGCACAGCAAATGCATGAACATACCGCTTTGCTGTCCAGCTCCCTCTCTCGGTCCGAAGGGTCCAGGATGCTAGCCAGAAAACGGTACCACCCTCAAAGGATTGGTCTTCTCACCTCAATTAATGCAATCAAGACCATCAATGAGGTCCACCTCCCAGGCGATTTGAGAGTCTATGACGTGGACAATCAATTGTAACCATGACAGCTGCCACGACAGGAAAAGGGGGGCTTTAGGGATGTGGTTAAAATCTAGCACCAGGAAATCAGCCTGGATTATGTGGGAACCCTAACTCTAATCACAGTACCCCTGGTAGGAGAAAGGCCAGGGACACTTGACACATGAGATCACTGAGGCACCAGAGCTAAGAAATGCAACCACCAGAAGGGATGTGGTCCCACAAGGCCTCTGTAGGGCAATCCTAATGACACCTTGGTCTTTACAGAACTGCTCTTGGACTTGACCTGCAGAATTCGAGAGAAGCTGCTACCTGTTAGAGTAGCCTCAGGGGACTGGGAGAGATGGGTGACTATGAAGGGAAGGGTTCAGTGGTCCCCACGAGGACAGACGTGGGTATAACAGCGAGCATTCTGACTTAAGAGCCACCTGAAGGAGAAGAGCTTTCAGCATCTTACGCATTTCTTGTTTCCCAAACTCTGTAAGAATGTTCGTTCTTTCCCAGGGTTGAGATTACTCAACAGGGAGCAACACTCGTGTGTAAAGTTGGCACACCTGAGTACAATCTCGTGTGTCGGGAGAGAGCTAGGATGGGAACCACTCAGGAAACAAGCTCTGTGGGGACGGAAGGAAATCTGCAGCCTGGAGCTCAGCTCACCCGGGCTTTTGGTTCTGGAGACTCCATGTGACTTCAGCCTAACTCAAGTCTCCAGGTTGCTTGTTGAAAGTAGTGAAGACTCTAAGGCCTTGCAGACTCAATAGACCTGAAGGTCTCCTCACACACTTCTTGGCCACTTGAATGTGGATAATAGAATTCTGAGGCCTTCTTGGAAGTTTGTGGGCTTTGTGTCTGGAATAATGAGGAGAACTGTATTAGTTTGGCTTCGTTTGGACTGCAATTAGACAAACCAAAAGAGCAGTGGCTGAGGCAAAAGAGAAGTAAATTCTTTCATATCCAAGGAGGTGACAGCTTAGGGGCTCTGCCTTTTTGTCTGTCTTTGCAGTGCTTCTTTTCCTCAGGACTCTCATGCTATAGCCCAAGGAGGCATCTCAAATTCACATGCCAGTGAGCAGAAACGAGAGGGCCGAGAAAGGACATGCTCTGCTCCATCTTTGTTTTGTTTTGAGACCAGGGCTCACTCTGCAGTCCCTGCTGAACTGGAACTCGTTTTGTAACCCACACAGCCTTGAACTTAAAACAGTTCTGCCTCAGTCTCTCTGCAAGAGTTAGGATACAGACGTGAGCTGCTGTGCCCAAGCATTTCACATAAGTTCCATGCACGGTTTCCCTCTACGTGACCTGAAGAAACTGAGGGCCCACCGCACTGCTATAATGGAGAGGGCCTCTAGTTTGGCTGTGGTGTGCCAAGTTTAAAATAACGAGTATTTCAAAGGGAGATGGAGAAGAAGAACACAGAGGCCTCTAGATACCAGCAGCAATCCTGAGTCCTGAGACTGGGCGGAGAGACAGAGGCTGAGAGTGTAAAGTGCCCAAGCTAGAGACTTGACCAAGGGTTGTCTGCTGGCTGCCTGCTGGCAATAAGCACTATGCTTTGTGTCCTTATAGAATAGCACAGAGGTGAACAAATGTGCCCTCTGGACATGGCAAAGTCACAGTGGTATTGATGGATGAACACCATGGACTGAAAAGTGTGAACTGTCTTATTGTCTCAGATAAAATGAGCAAACACAACCCAGGATGGGGCGGGGTAGATGTCCCACAAACGAATGATTCTGAAATTCTTGCCAACAAGGGACAGTGGGGCATCAAAACAGTCAGATTTGGGAAAAATGCAGCACGGTTACACTACATCACTCCACTTGTGAGGACCAGAGTATTCCTAGTAAAATCCCTGTGCTGATGCAGGTAAATTGCCTAGAACCTTTGGAAGCTCAGTCTTGTGGCAAATAGTAGCATCTTACAAACACACTTGATCCTGTGATCATTCAACAAGCACACCCCTCCAATCTTTGTTGGGCTGATTGTTCAATCAGCACCAAGCAGGAGACCACCCATGCCCTGTGACTGAAACTCTTCTACCTTCTTGGGGACATATTGAGGGAGCTCCCCCCCCCCCCAGTCACCATCTCTATGCCACACTCTGTGCTCCCGGGAAGAGTTACAATTACCCAGAGGGTGACTGAACTGTCAGCTGTTCCCTCCGAGCTTCTTCAGCATGTGGTGGTGGCCCACACCCCCAGTTCTGCAGGCCGAGCTTCATGTCTAGATTAAAGAAACAAGGCCTGATTTTAGTTTTAACTTTATACAGCATTTGGAACTGTAGCTGTATCATTCATAAGGTAGGCATTGTAATGTCATCCCCGGCAGGTGTCAGTGTCCTTCACATACTGGTGAGTGACTGAATCTCTTAAAGGTCGTGCCAACTCACAGAACACTGAAGAGTTGGCATGGGAGACCAGTGTCGCAGGGAGAGAAAGGTCCTCCGAGAACAGCTGTAACAGCTGATATGGGCTGACTCACAGTTGGCGTGTTATAGCAGACCCACACAAACAAGATTTCTGACACCATTGGGCAACTTTGTCACAAGTGACAACTGCGTGACAAGGTTGCTGTGGTGCTGGTGCTGCCCAGCTGTGACCACCAGCTCTCCTGCCACTGCAGCTTATAGAGCAAAGCTTGTGAATGTTACATTTGCAGAAATAATTCCCTGTTGTCGTGCTTATGTGTAAGTCTTGGTCTACATGCACACTCGGTCCAGAACTGTTTTTGTGTGGCCACTGTTCTGAATCCTGGACTCTCTTGGCCTCTAACTATATTTCCTCCATATTGTTAGTGCTCAGAAATGTGTGTTCTTATTAAAGTCCTTGGCCATGGCCCGAATAGGTAATTATGGACACATCTGCTGTTATGTGCAACAATCAGATCTGATAACTATCTCAGAACTATTCTTAAAAGCACATGGCAAAACAAACTGCTGTTATGTCAAGCCATTGAAATCCTGCTAGCTCTAGGCAATCTTATATTTAGACTCTTAGTTTCATTCTTCCTATGACTTTTAATCATTGGAGGCATTCTGTTAACATTCGTGCGTGGTGGCGGTGGTGCACCCTTTAATCTCAACACTAGGGAGGCAGAGGCACTCGGATCTCTGTGAGTCCAAGGCCAGCCTGGTCTACAGAGTGAGTTCCAGAACTACACAGAGAAATCCTGTCTCAAAAACAAACAAACAAAAAACATTTGTAATAAGCTTAGAATTGACATTCTTTATTTGGAGTATTTTATATTACCTTTTACTTAGGATTATCGCACCAAGCTGTTTCTTCTAAACAGCTTTTTTTTTTTTTTTCTGACTTTTCCTTTTTTCTTTATAATGTGACAGGGTTTCATCAAACCCAGGCTGACCTCAGACTCACTACGTAGCTGAGCATGGCCTTGAACGTGGGCTCCTCCTGCCTCTACCTCCCCAGTGAGGGATTATAAACATGCTCTATCACATCTGGCTTGAGAATATTCTTGCTGAATTCTGACATGCAGCGGGGAAAGGGACTGTACATGCCAGCCCCACGGCTGATGCACACCTTCACAAATTAAAAACGCCTCGGCGGCGGAAGGGCCAGCTCATGACCGAGGTTTGTGTGGGGGCGGCTTTTTGGAGAGTGACAGCGGGGATCAGGAGCGGGTAGCAAAGGCAGCCAAGCAGCAGGAAGACAGGCCCGGTGACTCAGCTCTGTTGCCATGGCAGCAGTGATTCAGTCCCTCAGACCTTCAGTGAGGCTGCTGGAACACAGCTCAGAACCCCCTCCTGGGGGGACGGGTGAGGGGGAGGGAGGGCGTGTTTATCCACTAATGTCCCGGCTCTAGGTGGTTTTGTGGGGTTAACCCCTTCCTTCCAGGGTGGACGACAAATGGATCCTGTGTGGATCTGATTAAGGCTTGAGCAGGACTGTTTGGGGCATCGGCACCTGGAGTAAGAGGTGAAACAGTGTGAAGCGGCCAGGAGAGGTGCTGCGGGAGAGAACATGCTCAGCCAGGCACAGCCCCCCCCCCCCGCCATGACAGCCTATGTCATAGATCATCTAATTATGTTGTACTCTAGCAACACCCCCCCCATACTGGTTCTCAAGGTTTATGGTCTGCAGAGTAAATCCCAGGGGGCCGATGAGATCAAAGCTGTTTCATACAATAGTAAGCCATTGTTAGTTTCTGTCATGCTCTTTCTGAGTATGCAGTGTTTTCCTCATCATGTGTGTTCATGGAGACTGTCTGAAGAAGCATTTATGAGACCCAGCTTCTTCCATAATCCCAGCATTCAAGAGGTTTGCAAAATTCTAAGATGATTCTAGTTAGGCCACAAATTTTGTGCTGGAAAATACAGGTATTTTTCATGAAAGTACATGAGTGTGTATGGCTGTGCATGCGTGTGTGTGTGTGTGCGTGTGTGTGTGTGGTGTGTGTGTGTGTGTGTGTGTGTGTGTGTGTGTGTGTGTGTGAGAGAGAGAGAGAGAACAGACACTTATTATTATTGAGTTTTGTTTTTTTTGAGACAGGGTTTTCATGAACAAGACACTACTTTGTGGTAAGAATGTGATATCTGGAAAAGTTAGCTTTATTACAGTATAATGTGGTATTTTATTTATTCTGTCAATTAAAAACACAAATTCAAAGTATTTACAATACTAATTGAACTCAATTTAAGAAATCAACTTCCATGCTTTTTCATGTCAATACTGAGTATTAAAAGGACAGTCAGTATAATTATGCTCAAAATTATTCACCCCAAACTTGTAACTGTTTGGCGTTAGGACGTTCACACACAGCTCAGTTCTGGGTGCTAAGCTCTGGAGCTTCAAGGAAGAACATTTTGTTTACTTCACTAATGGGAACGTCTCTCAACGCTGGGATGGCGTCTTCCTGGTAGTTCTTCCACTGTTGGTTTTTAGCATAGTTATCTGCAAGAAAAGAAAAGCTCTGCTGAGCCAGGCATTTTCTTTCTGTAATTTCTGTGGTCACCCGGCTGATACGAGGCAATGACAAACACCACGCACTAGTAACAAACACCATGCGCTAGTAGTTACTTGTCTCATGTGCTGTAACAAAATCCCTAACAAATGCAACTTCAGGGCTTACTCTGGTCGACAGTTACAGGGATACAATTCTCCACAGAGGGGAGGTATTGTGGCAGGAGCAGGAGGCTGACCACACTGTGTCCAGGCAGAGGACAGACGGGGATAAATGCTTATATGAATCTCATTTTCTTGTTCTTATTCAGTGCTAGAACTATGGAACTGTACCCTCCACATTTAGGGTGTATTCTTACTCAATAAACCTTACAGAGTGCTCAGATATTGGTTTCCACTGGGATTCTAAGTCCCACCGAACTGGCAGTCAAGCTTAACCACTGTGCCATGCCTAATGTAACAAGATTGCTTTGTCTCAGTGCGTTTCTGACGAAAGTACTAATATTTCATCTTCCATCCCTTTCTAATTTATTTACATATGAGCTTACCTGTGATCGTATGAATGGAGTTGAGTGGAGAAGTACTCATCATGTTAAATCCAAACAAGAGGACATAGCCGATTACAACAGCAATAAGGAGATAGACAGGCAATGCGACCGCCCAGTATCTGCAGGAGAGGACATCGAGAAGTCCTAATTCCCAAGAGGCAGTCACAAATCACACTCTTTTGTTTGTTTTTTTGAGACATTCTGTAGCCTTGGCTGTCCTCGAACTCACAGAGATCCGCCTGCCTCTGCCTCCTGAGTGCTGGGGTTAAAAGTGTGCTACACCACTGCCTGGCCTACAAATGATAACACATGGGAAAAAACAGACTCTTCTATCTCAAAGACTATCCCTTTTATCTGCTATCCTATTTTATTTCTGTGTGCTTATACCTTTAAAAGATTTTTCAGCAGCAGTATCATTTTAGCAAGATTTTAGGGAGGAAATGGAGATATATGTGTTTGTACCACCATCTTTCATTGGTGATACATGAGTAACCTTTAGGAGACACTCATTTTCTGCTGGGGTATGGCTCACTGGTTAAAGCACATGCCACTCCAGTGTGAGGACCAGAGTCAGGATTCCCAGAACCCAGGTGCATTCTGGGTGCATGTGTGGCCCACCTGTAATCCTAGCACTAGAGGGCAGACACAGGGAATTCTGGAGCAAGCTGGCTAACAAGACAATACTGTTGTACTCCTTGTTCAAGTGAGAGACCTTGGCCCCTTGAATAAGGTGGAGAAGGATGGAGAAAGACTCCTGGACCACTCAAGCACATGCAAATATGTTCACCTGCACTCAGAGATGTGGCCAGACACATGAAACACCCCCAACCCACCACACCCCAACACACACACACACACACACACACACACACACACACAAACAATTTCAACAGTTACTTATGGATTGTAAAACAATAATGATTTAAGGTGTGCTAGAAAGAACTATAACCCTTCAAAACAGTTTTACCCCTAGTAAGGAAATAATTAAACTTACTTTTGAGGCCAGTAAGTTAAGCCTAAGGAGTTTAGCCAGGATTCAGGAATGAAAGCCCATACAAGATAAAGTACTGCAGGGTAAAGAGGGTAAGGGAAGAAAAGTCAGCAAGGCACAGACCCAATCTGTACGGTTCAGATACAACAATGTCTCAGAGGCAGGCTCGGCTCCCTCAGAGTTCAACATCTTCAGCTCCTCATCTGTACCATTCTTGGGATACCATAATTACCACATCAGTAAGTTCTTAGTGTCTTAGCCCTCACACTGCATTGTAAATAGTCTAAGGGTGCTCTTAGCACTTTTTCAGCATCTAGCAAGTTCCTTCTGCATGCTGTGTGTGCAGTACTTCTCCATGGGTCAGATGTAATTGCATTTAGTTGCTTAGGGGAACTTGTCCCCTTTGGTTCTGATTGTCCCTTAACACCCAGTCTCTGTGACCCCCTTCTCTGTACACTTTACTTCATTTAACCCTCAGAACAATCCCGAGACACACGTGTAAATCTTACACAAGGGAAGTGGCGTGGGAGGCCAAGTGTGTGCTGTAGCAGTAATGGGTTGTTTTCCCCAAGATTAAAGTGTTACAAAGTGCTGTGTGTCAAGACTGTGGATACAATGAACCCTCAAGAGCTGGTTTCTGCTTTCCTTACACATCTGGTGCTGAAGAAACACGGCTAAACTCATCTTTCCCTGCACGCGGTGAGTGCTAATGTCCAAGCGCTAAAAGACAGTGTGCAGCACAAAAGGACCTCCTCCTCCTCCTCCTTCCCCACAGCTCTGCTTCCTGGGTTTGCTTGACTTACCTCCGGACTCTCCAACTAGAATGAAAAGTCAACGAAAGCAGACAAGGCTTGGCTGTTTTGCTATTCCCTGGACTCTAACACTGCCTGGTACATAGTAAATACTCAATAAATTCCTGAATTAATTTTTGTTTGTTTCTTAAGCCACCGATTTAACTTGTTTATATAGTTTCTGATCCTCAAAATATTTATATAAATAAACACCTGAAAGTTATTAAATATTGTTTCTTTGCATTAAGTACTTTACATATAATGTCCGGGTTAATACAAGAGTCCAAAATGGCAGTAGAGTGAAGTCCGCCTGTACACCTGTGTTCTATTCCAGTCCTATTGTGTATTAGCTGTGTGGCTTTGAACAAGTTACTTAAATCCAGTATTCTCACCTTCAAGTTGAGGACAGCAAGCAGTAGAGTACCTACTTTACAGGATCCTTTTATGCAAAACATCAGCAAGGAACATTATCAATATCCTGATGAGGGCACTTTAGGCCTGATTAAGTTAAAACACCCTTAGGCCAAACAATTTGTCCATGAAAGAGCCAGGATTTGAACTCAGTTATAATTTCTTCACTCCACTGACCAGGCTACAAGTGAGCTAACACTTTTCAGTTAAGAATTCAGAAATTTGGACTGTGGGCATTTAACCCTTTCAATTGGTTGGCTCATACTTTCCAAACTTCTTGAGGAGGGCTTTGGTCCTCTTTGTGTGAGCTTGTCATGTTGGTTTTTTTGGTAAGGCACAGTGTCCTCATCTAAAGAAATGGGACATTATGGGGATCAAAGTAGACCCAGGGTGTAAAGGGCCCACTCTTACACCTGCATCTCTAGCCATCCACTCTTCATCTCCAGCATGCTGCCCTGGACCTATACACTCCTCACTCGCGAACCTTCGCAGGCCTCATTCACGAGCCCTCCCATGGTCCTTCCAGCTAGCTTTATTCTTCTGATACAACTGCCAGAGGGAGGAGGCCAACCTGACTTCTCAGTGCTCCCCTGCTCTCCCAGGGCATCCGTCATGCTGTGTGAACTGTAGGTTTGCTATACTTCTCCACAAGACCATCACCTCAAGGACAGGGACCAGGCTTTGTTCACTTGAGTGTGGAGCCTGGAGCTGGATAAATACTGGAGATTAAACCTGGTACTGGAAATAGAAACACTTCCTGATTTCCTTCCAGGGCTCCTAAGAAGGGACAGGTGTGGAAAGAATCAACAGCTCTCGTGTGCACGCTCCAAGAGATTTCCTGGTCCTCGAACACACCAGGAAATGCCCTGGCCGTCCGTCCGTCCGTCCGTCATCCCTTCCATTGTACTTACTGAAGCCGAACTGAGAGCTTAAGAAAAGAACAAAGCCATAAATCGCTCTTTCTGGCAATGGCGACGGTGAGTTTTCCACCATCTTCCCTGCGGCTTTGGGCAGTCTGTGGAAAGGGAACACAGTCGTCGTCAGACATCGGCCCCCTCCTCCTTCCACCACTG